GATTTCGGCGGCGAACAGATATGCACCGTCATCTCGCCCGACGTCCTCGTTATTAAAGGCAAGGCATCGATCGGAAAATCGTTCTCGTCCCATGCACGTTTTATGAGAGCCGCTAATAATACTCCGGTCCATCCGGTACGATCAACGGTGATTCGAAAGACATTGATCCCTCATTAAGATTCCATTATTATCGAGTTTGCCTTTCGGTCGGTGACAAAGTTCGATGAACTAATACGCAAGCATTTTACCGTCAATTTATTATATGCGATATTATGATGTCGAAACATTATTTATTATTTAAGCGTGAAATTTATTGGAGAACTGATTTTACCTACGGACATGTAAATTGTATTAAGTTCGATCGTTTCTTAAAGAGTACGCGACATGATCATTGCACGTAAAAATGCTTAAAACCTCCACGAATCTAAAGATATTATTTATTGTAAAACTTACGGAAATTGCAGTTAAAAAAAATAAAAAATAAAAATCGATTTGTGAATACAACTTTTAAAATGTATTTATTATTTTATTCTATCAAGTTAGTTGAATTACAAATTATAAAGACAAATAATTGACATGTGAATACCTATCTGAATTGCAAATGATTGACTTGTGAATATCTAAATTGTTGAAATATGTCTGAAATATATCTGAAACATATAATATACTACGGTAAATTTCTATCTGTGCCGTAATTAAGAGATAGATGGATGTTACGCGAAATGACACGAGGAACTTCACCCGCATTTAGACAAATAATGACCAAATGTATTGCTCTCTGGAAATCGATGAAACCACGACTGCTTTGCGGAAGTACAGGGATTATTTATTGCCCGTGAGATAGCCCCGTCTGAAAAGCAATGGCAGTTTTTTAGTCTTATCGACGTCGGCCGTATTAAAGCTAGGAGAACAAAGAAGAATGACGGAGTGTTTATAAATTTATCGGCAGTGACAGCGAGGAAATAGTTCGACGCGCAATTTATAAGAATGCTAAAGCATGCACCTTATTTATCATCAAAGCGTGCGACAAAGCCGCCACGTGCGCTTAATGATTTTGATATTATTAAAATCAATAACGTCGATGAATCGAGAAATTATCACAAAATACAACATAAGTATAAAAGAGAGTAAAAATTATGTATCATTTTTCATTACTTTACATTTCAATATTTTGCGGTAATAATTTATTTGGTTGTTTAAATAATAATATTCAAATAAATAAAAAAATATATGTGCGTATATGTATGTATGTATGATGATTGATTTAGTTTCGATTTGGTTGATTTTGCTTCGACAAAAATATCTTTTTTAAATTACAGTAGTAATACTAACAATGAATTTTACTGATGATTCGTTAAAAATTTTACACACGGTTTGGAGATGCGTGTGATACTTGTTCTCATTTTGGCGCATTTTGTTGCCGTGATAAGTGCGTTATCCATCCGTTAGTGAACATTCGTTGAGCTTTACGATACGGTGCATTAGCGACAAACGGAAAATCACGATTTGTCATTTTTCAGTTTGCTTTATGATCCAGCACTACCAATCGTCATATAATTCACCAATGTCACGTGTCGATAAATCGTCATAAATTGATGTGATTCTTTCTTGCTTGTAAATCGTAAAATATATCGCAATGAAGGTGTCGGACAGTCCATGTTAAATGTGTAGTAGATGTCTTTTCATATGTCAGGAGATATAAAATTTCTTATATGAAACATCCTGTCGTGAAAGGATAATAATACATATAATTTTTCTGCTATCGTATCACTAAGTGACTGTTAAAATGAGAATGTCGAAAGTTAATAAATTATGCATCGCGTTTAAATATATCTGATAAGATTTTTCTAAACCAAGGAATTGTGATTTCATGCATCGAACAAGGCATTAAATAAAATAAAATAATTTCAAAAATTAGATATTAAATTGAAATTATTAAATTAAATGCATTAGATTGCAAACTAACGAAGTTTTTATTAAATCAGGCAGATTTACGTACAATGAAATTCAATAAAATTCCATTGATTTTCATTAATTCTATACGTCAAGGAGTGATTTCGAGCGACAGAATGAACTAACGTGCCTCTACTCTCTGATCGTGAGTAGTTCTTTGTGCGAGGGTCTCAAGGGGTTGAAAACTGTCACAGACGTGGCGAAATGTCGAGGCCGGATCGTAAGTAAAATGAATTTAACATTTGGCGTTTATATGCGGCCTGCAAACTACGCGCCGTGGGAACGAGCTCGACAAACTCGATGTCGCGAGTTAGGCGCGACGCCTGGCCGTATGTGCCTAATATCTGCTGTATAAACGCGGCTTCTACTACACACATTGCGACGACACGAGGATGCTAGTGCCAAAATTTATCGCTTACGTAATGGAGAGAAGCGGAATTACCGAGAGATTGCGCCGGCCTGCGTCCCGTCAAACTTTATCGGCGTTTTATATCAATGTGAATTTGATAGTTGAACGTGCAAAAATTACGACAGCTTGTACGAACCTAAAACTTGGAATTATTCACACGTTGGCAGACCGCCAGGTTCAAATTTGAGATTAAGTAGATATTAGAGAACTTATGCAGCCCCGGAATGAAATGAGGATTTTGCATAGAAGTTTGATAATTGATAATTTGATAATTGATGAGAGAACTTACGGGCGATTAAGTCACGACAAAGAAGCAAAGATGAATATCTTTCTCTCTCCGACGAGATCCTATATGTAATTTTCTTCGGCGCGGAAATGTTCGAGTGTAAATGTCGCGATTATTATCGTGAAGAACGTTATAGGAAAGACCATCGAAGATAATTATCTTGTAATATGAGATTGGGAAAAGTACATTGTGTATTGTACATGTAGCGAATTACTCGTTTTAGAAGCAGGCAACGGTAATTTATCTAGCGCCGCGGATATAATTATCGTTGACAACGCACGTTGAAATATCTGCGACACAATTTACGAGGATGTTGAGATCGTTCCATTAACTACGGTCATCACAGGTTATCCGCAATTCAGATATAATCGAATATAGCTAGTTTAACAAAATTTCATCCCCGGCACTCGAAAGCCGCGTTACAAAATTACATTTAAAAGTAAGCTCGCGTTTATATATAAAATAAAGCAACGTGCTAGGCAAACTAATCTCTTAGTTATCTCTTGTATCATACATAATCAAATGAATTAATTTTACTTTCTCAACCTTTTTATCAAAATGTGATATTAAAACATTACGTTTCATTTCGATCATTTCTTTAGGAAATGTTAAATGTAATTGACAGTGGGAAGTAATAAATGTGGTTCATGGACTGTTAAGAAATTTATGCGACAAAGTAATTACGATCGAGCAGAGGTAACCACGTGCTTTCTGACATTATAGAATTGATGCCGTCGGTTCGACGCATGGAAATAGCGTCTCCATAATAGTGCGAGGAAATCGCTCCATTAACGGTGATCACCTCAAGTAACCCGCAATTTGGAAATAATTGAACAGGGCACGATCGAATCCAACGATTTAAGCCGTGCGCCATCAGCATATTTCCGCACGTTAATCGACATCTCGCATGCTGCATAATTTACCGTGTGCATAAAATAGTGTATAAGTGCTCTCGATCTATTTTGCGCAACAAAATATGTAAAATTCATTATACTTTTGTCGAAGGATATTAAATAATAATCGGTGATGTCGACTGATATTTGTAAAATGACGTTTTTCTTCTACCTCGACGACGGATATTACGAAAAATGTTTCGAAAGAAGATCCAACTAAAATTTTCAATGCAAATGAAAAGTAGCGAAAAACGTTGGAAACATGACAGGATACAATTCTTGCGACGAATGTTCTCTTCTGGAGTGCTGGGTATCCCTGACACTTCCCTATTTTACTTCATCTCTTTCCTCACGCGGCACTCGATCTAATTCACACATTACAGAAAACGGTGCGTGTGATACGTGTGTCGTACGTGTGTAACATGTAATGCTATATATCATATATATATATATATATATATATATGCCTATATTATGTATATAGATCCGAGCTGAAGCTACGAAGCGTGAGAACGGCTATCTATGGAGCATCGCTATTGTGTATTGCACTCGTGAGTCTTGTGTCGGACAGAAGAAGCCGCGAGATGCCCGTCATGGGCGCGGGATGGGGTTTTTCTGGTCACGGCTGGGACGAGGTAGGAGGCAGGTCGAGTCTCTCATGGCAG